CACCAGATGAGTGTAGTATCTGGGGCTTCCCTCATCTGGTGGTGGAAGATGGTTACCGCCTACACAAATTAGGCAATCCTGACCAACAGTGTTATCCTATCCATGTTGCACCGGCCTCATTGATAGTCAGAGCCAACCAAGAACGGCGGATTGATATCCAACGTATCGATAAGAAAAGGGAAGCGAAAGGTTTGTAGACACTCTCACAGGGTTGCCTCAGTCATATGCACAAGTTGAATTTACGTCCCCGTCGCTTGCGGGTCACACTTTTCAGTCAGTCTCCGGTCAGAGCGATCGTTCATGTGGGCCACCCGTGATGTTTGTCGTAAAACCTTCTTTCATAAACACAGAGCTAAGAGAACAGCATGCACAATAACCCAAAAAGTTTAGACCGACAGTTCTCCTATTAGTATGTGGTATCGAAAAATAAATCACGTGAGTTGAAATTATAAAGTAGCGAGGATATATGCAGAACTTACCGGACGCATCTGAGACACGTCGATTGGAATCGCTGCGACGTGGAGCGCGTGACCCATTGGGGACCGTTTCCGATCGTCGGGGACGTCGTAGAGAACCGTCAGTCAGACGATCAGTCAATGAGAACGGAGCATTCATAGTTAGTTCTGCTGAGACCTTGGCCATGGCCGCAGCAGCCAGGGCAGCCTGACGAGTCGAAGAACCAGATTGTTGCTGTTGCTGGTTCGATAACTGATCCGAGGGTTTGATATCTCGATGATCGGAGTTGTGATCATCTAGACGTGAGGAGTGACCATTCATTCGAGCGGCTATAAGGAGTAGAACAGCAATGAGTTTGACACAGGACATCTGTACAGGTAAACTTATTGATTTTTTCCTGGGTTTTAATTATTAAAAAACAATTCTGGGATTAGTTTTACTGAGAATGAGGTAAAAATAAGAACAAACATTCAGAGGCGGACAATTGTTTTCATTGATTCACCTTCTAGCCTGTATAAATCAGATCAGATAAGGAAATCGCATGTGGAACGGGGATAGACATTCGGTCATTCAAAAGTCACGGTGATTGGTTGAAAGAGAGAGAGAGAGAGAGAGAGAGAGAGAGAGAGAGCGAGAGAGGAATGGGGGATAGGTGAGTGGTGGTACGACGTGCTTCACGCCCCTAGATGACCATCATCAACACACTGCAATCAAACTGTGATGCGTCATCCGTGCGATCGATTTTCAACCACGTCAGTTGAATGGCACTCAGATCAGATGAAAAACGAAAACATAATTGTGACAGTCATTCTGTACTTAGTATTAAACACAGGATCGTTCTGTTCGTAGTCTCTAAACACATTGAATACAGTTCACTTGTCTTCAGAATCGTATGAGACGGGTAACAAACTTGTCCGTGAGCAACAAATCGAGTGAAGTTATCACACACTTTGGGGATAGGCCTGGAAGTTGTAGGATTTCAGTGGATGTTTTTTCTCTCTCAACAAAATGCAAATGCACTTGGGGGGGGGGGG